GCCTTTGCGACGGGTAGTTTAGATAAAATTACCGATTTGAAAAAATCGTGCTCATCGTTCGCTGTCTCGCCCGGACTCCTCCAGCCAGTTCGCCTTGCCTGGTCGGTTTCACACGGGTCCGCTACGGGGGCTACTCTACGCTCGGAGGTCCACGCCGATACCGTAGTCGTAATCGCGATTATCAACGGGAAAGTCCACCGCTTACTTGATGCCGAGTTATCCATGTTCAATTCCGGGTTCAAAGAGTAACCATCTCTCGTCGGTCTATCTTCTTTGCATCCTGCGCAAATTTCGGCAGTTTCCATCATGTATAGTTGTTACTCGGGAGGTATTTATCTGTCTCAGGGAAAGTCAGAGTTACCGTAACTCGCGCCAGAAATAAAAGTGCATATCCACGATATTTGCTGTGCATCGATCGAAACTGTCTATCAAGCGAGATTGAATGATTTCCACGGAGTACCGAATTAGCAACCACACAAAGCCGGCGTGTTAAAAGCCGAAAGATCCGGTCCACGTCTGTGTCGGAGGCTGGTACAGATGGAAATAGGACCGCTTTTGCTTGCTGTGCGGCGGTGGCACGGTCGGCGGCTGCTGCTTGGATGAAGGTCAGCGGCAATGCAACGCAGCAGCCTTGCCTTTGGCTAACCATAAGTCCTGAGACAAAAAGCGGAGGCTGGCTCTTGAGCTGCTTGATTTTTCGGTCGACAAGCCTGGCCCGATGGTTGAATGCTGAGTAAGTACTCCGTGATTGTTCTCCACTTTCTCTTTCTGCTATCCAACCGGCGAAGGATCGGGTGTGAGGTGGTACGTAAATACAACTAATCGGGAGCCTAGAGAGGCTGGTTTGGAGAACCCGCCATCCTTGGCGTCTCTCTGTTCGGTGTAAAAGATCCCGTGGCAGGCATCCGGTGCGGGCGGGTCTCCGGCGAATCATACAAGCTCGCAATGTCATCAAGACGGGTCGGCTTTGACATTCTGAGTAGGTGGGGTACATGACGGGTCGGGTTAAAGAAGCTGCCGTAGTTGGTTCCCCAGACCCTCGTGAAAGGAGACAGTCTTCGGTGTAAAATCAAAATATAAATGTTGAAAAGGGAAAAGATGCTGTCTTGTGACTGAAAATTCTGGTTTTAAGTAAGAAATGAAAAAAAAAAATAGAAAAGTCATAAAAGTCATAAAAGTGGAGGATGGTGGAGTTCTGTGTAAATCCGTTGGATGCAGAAGCTCCGTGCAAGAGCTCTCTCACATACCCTGTCTCCACGGTCGGCAAATCATAAACTCTCACGCGAAAAATGCGCCCCGTCCACTTGCGCTGGTCATAATGCGTGATCCCGTGTTCGTTAAATATATAGTTGGCGTGTTGCTCACATGCTCGCGCGTCATACTCATTTTGCATTTCTCAACTTATTGTATATTCTCCCCTGTGTCAAGTAATCACCATGATATCATACAACTAACCCAACCATAAAACAAACAGATACAGAAAAACAAGTACAAAAGGCCAGTTAAACCCAGTGCCCAAGGAACCCGCACAAACTCCTCCCAAAATAAACGCCTTTAGATGACATGACATGACCGTGCAAAAACTCCTGTCTATACAAACGCCAACCAGAAACACCACGAACTCCTCAACTTTAGCAAGAATACAACCTGTATGTTGCTGTGACAACGCCCTGTTTATACGTCACCCAGCACCCACCGATGTGGTTCACTCTCCATTCCTTAGGCCAGTCGTACGACCTCTAGCCTTAGACATTTCGTCCGCCCCATACAGAACTACCGTGTCCCTTCAGCAGCATGTTCTCCAACACTGTCCTGGCTTTCGTCACTGGTCTGATTAGAGTCCAAGCTCCCTTGACTAGACTCGAACTCTTGAAGAGTCAGGAAATTATCTCCCGTATACAGTTCGGAGAGATGCCGGTGTTGGCGTTGCAAAGTTGCTTTGGGGCGGTTCGGATTAAAGGCGGTCCGTCTTGATGATGGTTGAGGTGGAGCTAGAGGTAAAGGTGTGACTCCACGGGAGGGCGGTGGGGTGATTGGAGTATTTATGGTAGACATTCCGTAGAGTTTGCTTCCCCGGCCGTTTGAAAGTGTGTGTGTGTGTGGTAGTTTAATATTTGTGCCGTAGCGTTGCGGGTTGGATAGTAGAAAATACTTTGTGTGAAATGTGAAGGAACCGCAAATGTAGTTGAAATAACGTTTGGATAAATGGAAGTGGAGGAGGGGTGTTTTTGTGGTAGAGAAGGAGGGGAAGCCCAAATGCAAAGTCACACCCTGCAGGGGTCCGTGTCGCAACAACACGCGCGCGTGCCCACGGTCGCGACTTTCGACCCTCTGTCTACCCAATGCAACGTGTCTTCGACGCGTTAATGGGCTTTGCAAATTTCAAATCGATGGAAATCTCAACCCCCAACTCGTTTGCCACAGGCGAGTTATGAGACGCAGGTACCGTGGCGTGCCGAAGTTAACCTCCTTCTATGACTCTTCGACGCGTCGTGCTGCGCCGCGTTGGATGGCGCTGATGAGGGATGGACTGGCAGATGACGTACCGGGGTTGGGAGTACCAACGATACTGGAAAAAGTAAGATGGATTTTGATGAAGATGGCAATCTTTCCGACGCCACGGTTATGGGGTCATTCTGGTGCATCTATATCTTCAACAGTTATCGCTCACTGCTCTCGAGGCCTGAGCTCCATAATCAACATCTTCTTTGTTGCTATTTTGAAAACCTCTGGCGGACCGCATCATTTCCCATGGATTAAGCAGCACAAATGGTTACAACACAAGTCGACTCCGTCATAATACTTCCCGCCTATGCTAGTTTTTCTCCGGAGAAGCAAATATTTGATCACTGTGACACAACCCGTCAGCCCGTCAGCGGATTTATCCGGTTGCTTACCATGGGTCTTGATGAAAATCAAAGCCACTTGACCCAGTTTGAGATTTTCAGAAGTTCAACCGTAACGTTTTATCCATGGATGGGGTTGTCTTGTCAGCGATGAGCGTTCAATTCATTTCACTTTACGCGGTAGTCACGAGGGGTGTTTCGACTTCGATCACCCATTAACTGATCGTTTTAAAAATCGATCAACAGCCACCCAACTGAACCTCGAACAACAGAGCCGGCCTTCGGCTGCCCTTCCCCGGAAATTTCATATATCGGGCGATCGTGTCGATTCGGTAAGACTTTACCCTTTTCAAAACACCGTTGCCAGCTGTCAACTGAGCATCTTCAGCCCCAAGCGGCATCACAATAACTCCGTAGAGTACCACAAGCACCGCAACCGATTGGCTGCCTTCTGTCTATATATGTCTTTTGCCACAGAGGTTCTATCCAATAATTTCGCCACAGCTTCTCCAGCGCTTGCTAAATCCGAGAATGAGAAGCGATATCAGAGGCGAGATTCATGTAGGCAGTCTCATAATTATGATCACTGCGCACTCTCTTGTGGTACACCATACCTTCCTCGCATCTTTGGTGTCTGAGCAAAAGCTAGAGCTCAGCCGTTAGGTTCGTCGAGCTCACTCGCTTCGCTTAATCCGCGCTTCAGCATTGACCCTATAAATTAAGATATGCTCTTAGACACTCTAGCTCTTTCCATCATTGAGTCAACAGTGCACGGCCCTCTGTGTTAACTATGTTAAGCTTGAAGCTTCCCGATAGATGGTTCCCGATGAACGATGGGGAGACGATGGACCATGGTTCACCCTCAGCCATCCAGCCGCACGACAAATTGAGCCTTCATGGTTCCCTATGGTTCGCCACTCTAGTCCGAAAGCTGATTTCCGAGTTGTCACTGGTGGGTGATTGGGGTGTGAACGCTCTGCAAGTCTATCCGAGCGAGCACCTTTATGATTCTCGGGCCGATAAGTGACGTGGTGAGGTAGGTGTGGCACTGACGAGGTCCTGACGACTTTGTCGGATCTTGTCGAGGTCTAAGACGCGAACCGGCGGGAGATGCGAATGATGTACTGGCGAGTGACGGTATAGATACTCTATCTAAATGACAGATCATATCGCCACCGCTTTGATCGCAGTATCTACCGGTCTCCATAGAGTACGCCATGTCATAGTGCTGTATTAATCCCGCCGTCTCTTTCTGGTTCGGGCCGGTGCTATGGTTGTAAACGGCTTTGACAAGTTTCTCGGCGGCTTATTGTGCATGTCATTCCATCTTATTCCGTTACGCCTCTTGTTTGTACATAGTCTCACTCGGAATTAGCCAGGCAGTAGTAGTCAGATACCCAATAGCCCGTCATTTGCCATCATACGATACCCGGTAAAAATTTTCCAAGTCTCGGGGATTCTTACCACCCTTCCGAGGTGTTATCTCCACACTTCGGGTTTTATCAAATTGCCCACCCCTCGGCGCCACCTCCGAACTCTTGGGGACCGCATTCGTCAAAGCCTAACGAGACCGGTGAGCGTGCATCTAAGTGTATCGGCCAAGTTTGCAATTCCCAAAATTTCCCATCAAATAGTGTCTTGGCTCTGAAAAAGCTCTCATCCGATGTTTCGGCCCGAAAGAAAATAGGATCTGCCGTGGATGGGCGATGTTACAGTAAGGTTCGGAGGGGTTTGGAATTTGCTCCGGGCTCCGGAAAATCCTTGGGGTTGCTAGAGTAACTCTAATTTGGGGCCGATGATAGTGAACAGACGGTGGGCTTCCCGGGCTTGGAGGTTGCTAGTGGATCTGTAGTTTAGGGCTTGGGGTTGAAGTTGGGTCGTGGTGGAAATTTGTATGTAGAGAGCTAGGCCAGAAAGTTGTGTTGATTTCTTGTGAAGATGACAGCAACGGGGGCCAAGGCAAGAGATATGTGTTGGAATAGCAATTCAAGCAACGATTCACTCGTATTAAGAATGCTTTACTATTTCCTCCCAAGAAGTAGTATCCGAAACTGTGATAATCAAGCACCAAGTACTGAATCTTAACATGATTTTTTACAGCAGCAATTGTTTTAAGCATTATATTGTATAATACCTTACAAATAAACAAAACGAGCCTGGCTGGCGCAATGGTAGCGCGTCAGACTTCTAATCTGAAGGTTGCGGGTTCGACCCCCGCGTTGGGTTCTCTTTTTGCATTCCCTTTTGCTGTGACAGTCATTGTTTCTTCCCCAGCGTGCTTCATATCCCGTGCTTCGTTTTTGAGCCTTTCCTTCCTTCGTTCCGTCTGACCTCAAGTTATCACTACTGAAATGATTCTGTATTGCTATGTCTGCAATAGAAACCCTATTTCTTACATAAAGAAGCAGGCGGGCAGCCTCACTTTCGGTTTCGGGTCGCGATTGTTTTCATATCATTTGAGCCCAGATTAGGGTACAGTAATCCTGCTTTTTCAAATTCCTTTTATGTAGCTTGGCTTTTGCTATTATTGACATGAATTCCGGAAATACCTTTGCAACCACATCTCCGAAGCAATGTACATGGGATATGCCTTGATTATGAGTTCTCAGTAATCTAAATCATTTTCTTTCCGCAGTATCGTTCCTTTCACCACTTTCAATATCATTGGGTGATATACTATGCTATGCATATGCATTGCTTAGTAATATTGATGATTAATTGTGTATCCAATCGGATGGCTGAAAAGGTTGAATAGTTATGGCTCTGGTGCTTTTCTTGACTGACTGGTGATGGATTACTCGGGCTGTCGTGGCCGTAATTATTTTGTATACTTGAGCAATTGAGGCTGTTTGTTGTTGTCTTGGTTTATCTTGTGAGGGCGTTGGGAAGGTTGTTCTTCTTCGTGGTGCTTCTCTTCTTCTGATTGCTGTGGTTAGATCGTTATTTGTTGGTGGTTTTGCTTCACGTCTGTTCTTTGTACCTCGAGGCTCTCCACACTTTGTAATCATCGATCTATAGCCTCCTCTCGCTTCTCGTTAAGCATCTGTATGACTCTCTCTCTCATATCTTTGCTTCTTCTTCTAATACTATTACTATCTTTAATATCTTCCCAACCTTCATGTCACGTTTCTTGCTTCTCGTATATCTGCAATATACCATTACTTCAATCTGGTACATATCCAAGAGGTAGGTGCATAATTATCCAGCCTTATTCCTGGCTTCTGCGAAACGTTCTTCTTTATCTGTGATCCAGGCTTCTTGCACCCATTCAAAATTCCAAATTCCTATATGTAGTATTTTCTTATTTTACCTTCCCCTTCTTTTTACATACTTTCGATGTCCCATCTTCTCCATATCTCCAATTTCCCCCCCTCTCTCCCTTTTGCATTTTGATTCTTCTTTACTTTATAGTTTCCACTTACCCCATCTACCACCATAACCTGTTGCTAATTCGTCTTGTGGTCTCATAATCTAACGTATAGTATTATTCTTCGTGTATCCATTATAGAAGGTATCTAATTTTCTTAGGGGCCCAGCCTAGTTTGATATATACAGACTCCAGAGATTCCCACGGTCCACCTACCTGCCGTCTTGCGGTAAGATCTGTACTGGCAGTCTTTTCAATGCCATGGACTGGGCCCCCCCCCGTGGGTAACCGTAGTGAACCATAATGATGATGCCAGTCATTGCTTATCACCCGGAGACGACAGCAGTAGATTGCAGTCCATGACGCTCCGCGTAGATACTCCGGGTCTCTTACCCTCGACTAAGGATCGCCCCCCTCCTCCTCGCCCAAAAAAAGAAATGAGATCGATAGATACCATAGATCTATAGATATATGCATCATCAATGAACTGTAGGCTGTAGCCGCAGTCATAAATTTCAATTTTAAATTTATAATTCCAATTCCCATACTTCTCAGAAGTTTCCATCCTATCCGTAATCCGCATCCCAGGTTTAAAGAGCAGTCTCTGATCATTCAAGATACGATTCATATCCCTTAATTCCTCCTGAGTTTCTGAGACTTCTTTGAACCATGTGCGGAATTCATTCAACCAACCTTCTTGGTTGAATACATCGAACGGACAATCTTTTTCTATTTTAACTTTCCTTGAAAAGTTCTCGAGAGTTGAAATCGTGCTGGAATTTTCTTCATTACGGCTGCGACTATGCGCGAGTAGTTGAAACTTGGATGTTCCTTATCTTAAGCAACGCATCCTGAACTTCATTTTGAGATCATTGATAACGACCGGCGCATTCTGGATTCTTTCGATGGTTAGATGGATGAATTTTGCTGATTTGAAGTTCTGTGGTAATGATGCAGGCTATGCCGAAGATGTTGCTTGTGAGACTTCAGGTATGGCGTGGTATCCAGTGGCCTTCTGTGTCCTTTCTCGTTTTTGATGATGGTGGATAACATACGTTGGGGACTTCCTAGTATATATAGATTTCGATTATCGTGTAGAATCACAGTTACAAAGCCGCACGTTATCTTGGCATCAACGGTATTTCGGCACCGCTTTTTAGGCAAAATATATAGTACCAACCAGCCGAGGCTACAAGAATTGAGAGTTTCGAGGCTTTCTGGTGTGTGCTGAGACACCCATTTTCAAGCACCAATAATCGCGGATACTGGCATGATATTAAAATTCCACATGGGGAGAGATTTTATTATATGCAATATAGAACTTTCAGTATATACACTTTGCATAATTCATCTGTTTTGTTCCTTCGCCTGTTGGTGGAAAAGGTAGGCACTGACTAGACGGCAGATGGGTTTGATTTCTAGCGGTCGTTGTGATCTTTATCCCCGGCGGTGGGTCACTGCGTGTTATGTAGCTCGTGACCGGAAAGGTCAGACATGCGGTACAAGTTGGGTGCTGTGATAAAGCGGCTGTGCTGCTTGGGCTGAATGGAAGGTTGGGTAACGGATAAAAGACGAGGTGCTAATAAAGAATGTGAACCTTCAGAAAAGCTGAAGAAAGTCATGGATATAGAGGAAGGAACTGAAGAAAAGACATAATAAAAGTAGAAGGAATAGTAAACTGCCGAAATGTTAAAAAGTAATTCCACTTGGATATGAAAATTAGACTATATTTGACGCTTGAAGCTAGGTATATAACAGTCCCTAGAATTAATTGGCTGAAACTTTGAAGGATTAAGAGCTCTATGATAGCTAATTTTAACCATAATCATGATATTTGATGCTTCATGAAATGAACTTGTCTTGGCATTTGCAGTTATATGGGAGGAACAAAAGTTCGGCGAGTGAAACAACAGAGCGCCGGACTTACCTTTGTAGCCGATTACGGATAGAAAGTGGTTAATAAAAAGTGTGGGGATGCGGGACTTACAGAAGCGAGTGATCAAAATAGTTCCCGCTAGTGAACCCGTGGCCTTATCGCTCGCGCAGGTTTCGGAGCACCAGCACGCGTCGCGAGGTTACGTCATTCCAACGACCGCCAGGATTCTGCACACCGCAACCTCATCCTGAACATCCGCTTTAGTCGGTTACCTCCCCTCAAAGCCTGGGGGCTCCAGCACAAAAGTACCAAAGTGCTCAAAGTACTCCTCTACAACTGCCAGGACGAACTACACGCCCCACCTGCGCGACGATGAATCCGCTCCTCTTCTTCCCCGCACTCGCTCTATTAGTCGTTCGAGCGATACAAAGAAACTCCTTGACACCTGCGGGTATTCTCGCTGCTATCGTTACCGCGGGTATTCACGGATACCATCCTTCAGCTTTACCTTTTACTCTTCTTATCACTTTTTACACCCTTGGAACTGTAGCGACAAAGATCAAACATGACGTGAAATCAAGACTTACTATTTCCTCGACCGGCGCGAGCTCAACAGCAAGAAATGCAACTCAGGTGTTTGCCAACAGCATAGTGGCTACTGCGCTCACGGCCGCACATATCTATACCGGAGAGGAGGTTTATCTTATTGGCGTTATTACGTTAGTAACCAGCTCCGAACATTATTCTCTCTCGATGCTCTGAGCTCTAGCTAACACACCCCAGCAACTACGCCGCCACAACTGCCGACACCCTCAGCAGCGAACTCGGAATTTTAAGCACCTCCCAGCCCATCTTAATTACCACTCTTCGCCGCTGTCCCCCTGGTACAAACGGCGGTATCTCATTATTCGGTCTTGTCGCAGGAGCTGCTGGTGCTGGTATAATCGGTGTTGTCAGCTCTTTGCTCCTTCGACTTCCCCTGCTTCCTCTCCCAGCTGAAAATCCCCTTACCCCCGGCGGTCATGCTCTCGCCACTTCCAGCGCCTTGGGTTTTACTCTCTTTATAACTATCACCGGAACCCTGGGATCGCTGCTTGATTCACTACTAGGAGCTATTGCCCAGGAATCAGTAGTGGATATGAGAACCGGAAAGGTTGTGGAAGCGCCAGGTGGTGGAAGGGTGTTGATTGAGCCGAATGTTAAGGTACTGTCACCGGTGGGTAAGATGCATAGTAAGCTAGGGCATGCTCCTCAAGGAGCTGGGGAAGCAGTAGGAGTTGTGGGAGATGATGGAAAGGCGACGAAGACTGTTAAGGTGAAGAAGGAAACTGCGAGGGCGAAGGGAATGGAGGGTAAGAAGGAGAAAGATGAGGGATCGAGAAAGAAGATTGGTGGGCTTGGGTGGTTGACGAATAATGGGGTTAATTTTACTATGGCTGCATTGATGAGTTTGGCAGCTATGGTATGGTGGGGATTTTAGAGGCATGTTCTTGTAGGCGTGAGGTGGAGAGAAGGAAATTGAGAAGTGCGGGACAATGAGACTAGCCCTTGTGGTGACGGGAGAAGGAGTGAGTTAATGGGGAAGGAGAAGATATACCTTTGATATTTTTGATGCTTTGTTACGTAGAGGGCTTGTTAATGAGCGGTAAGTACTTGATACGAGTATTAAATCTTGATATATAATTTTGCATCTCAATTCATACGAGATAACGTGATACACCGATAACGCGAAACTGACCGGGAGGCATCAATTTGACAGTTAACTGGTCGGCGTCGGCATACCTGTGCTTAATTGACCCCATTCATCTCTATACCCTCCTTTAAGCTTTAACACTACTAGATGCCACGAACCAACAAAAGCTGTAGGCCAACCATGACACTCAACACTCTCCCTATGTTTCCTATATCACCAATACAACCAAATGCCTGCCTTTTTCTTTCAAGTGGATTCCCTTTTCTTTTCGCAGTATCTCTCACTTTCTC